GCTGCTGCTGCTGCACATCCCTGCTGAAGGCAGGGTGCTCTGGGCCCAGGGCCAGGGCTCAGTGCAGCACCCAGGGAGAGTCCAAGGAAACACTCCTAAATTATGAAAACAACATCCTGTTACTGTGTTTAGTGACCTTTTAAAACAACAGCTGTTTGGCCAGGCGGTGGTGGCACTCACCCCTAATCCCAGCACTTAGGAGGCAGAGGCAGGCGGATCTCTGTGAGTTTGAGACCAACCTGATCTACAGAGATAATTCCAGGACAGCCTGTCTCTACCTCCCGAGTGCTGGGACTAAAGGGTGTGCCACCACTACCCAGCTCATATCCATATTTCTAAGAGCATCTAAAACCTAGCCGTCCTGAGCATGTTTGATGCAGGGATGACCTGTCTCTGGGAGGTTCCCTGACCTGTAGCAGCATTCTTGCTGTCGTGCAAGCTGGGAACTCTGCAGGGCTGGATCAGATCCCTGCCTGTGCTCCGGTTCTCACTACTAACTACTGATGTGCAGGCTGCCCCCTCACACCCTAGCTGCCTGGCCGCTGGAGAATTAAGCTAAGTAGCTAGGAAATATGCTATCCTGCTTTCCCGCCAAGGTACCACAGACCTCACCCCCTCTATGCCAGGACTAAGAAAAAAGGTGTCACTGGAGCTTGACCATCATAGAATGGCTCTGCCTTTAATGAGTTGACTACAAGCAAACATAGGTTGCCTATCAGCTTCCACCATGTTTTTTACTACAAAAATCAGTAGCTCTTTTCAGAAGAGCCGGGTGTTGCTTCTATCTTTTCTATCTGACAGTCAGGGCTTTGCTCTGCATCCATCCCTGGCTTATGATGCCTACCCAGCACCATACAGTGCTTGGCGGAAGAACCCCCTGAGCAGATCGGGACAGATAGATGAAGGCCACGCTCAGAACTCAGTGTGTTACAGGCCACCCTGTGCCACCTCCCACCAGCACAGGATATTAGGGAGGTGGTCTGAGTTCCTTCAGTCTCAGAAAGATGGCAGCAGCACTCCCTGTCAGCGCATGAGATGACTGATACAGGCACTCTGAGCGTTGCTGCCCAGGTCCTCAAGTATCCCTTGCTGGCACCACTCTATCCCTCAGCAGTGTGCAGGTCTCAGACAGGAACCCTGAGTGTTCTAGAATCCTCCAACCAAACAGCCTTTCTCAGGCTATAAATACAAATTCCTGCTGCACAGGGATCTCAGAAGCAACACCAAGCACTCCCCAGATCCCAAAATAGAGGACAGGCTGCTGAGGGACGGGTGACTGTGAGATGGCCATCTGTGTCCCTCTCCCAGCTCTGGGGGTGAACATGATCCTGAAGGGCCTGACAGAACCGGGGCCCATGGAAGCAGTGTGATCTGAGCCCAGCCCCCCAGCAGTTTCTGGAATCCCGGGAGCCATCCAGAGCAGCCCAGGGCCAGCAGTGCTTTTTGGTGATTGGAGAGCCTTTCCTGGCACCGCCAGCCCTTGGAAAGGTACTTCTCAAGCTTGGCTCATGTCCCAGCATGACTGCATAACTGGAATGCCTGAGCAGAGGAGCAGGGGCTAAAAGGGAGGAAGACACCCAGGCCTCTTTGTCCCCGAGACACAGACTGCTCCTGCCCCTTCCTTTCCATTGAGTCATCCCTGCTCACTGCTGGGCTGCTGCTAGGGGGCTCGCAATGCTCTAGACATCCTAATTAATAATGAAATCAGTCAGTGTGTGACTCCAGCTAATTGGGAGCTTGAGGCTGGAGGATTGTAAGTTCTAGTCTAGCCTGAACAACATATCAAGGGATCCTTTCTCAAAAAATAAAAACAGGAGCTGGAGGGAGCTCAGCAGTTTTAGAGCACTTGCTGCTCTTGCAGAGGACCTGGGTTCAATTCCCCAATATCCACTTGGCAGCTCACAACTGTTCATAACTCCAGTCATTGGGGATCCAATGCCCTCATCTGGCTTCTGAAGCAAACACTAATACACAAAAATAAATCTCAAAAAAGAAAAAGAAAAGCATGCAGTTATTTAAAATAAATAAAAACAATATCTGGGTATAGTGGTATTCAGCTAGTCCCAGCATTCAGGATATTGGGGTTGGATTACAAATATGAGGCCACCAGGCAGTGGTGGCATACGCCTTTAATCCCAGCACTCAGGAGGCAGAGGCAGGCGGATCTCTGAGAGTTCGAGACCAGCCTGGTCTACAAGAGTTACTTTCAGGACAGCCTCCAAAGCCACAGAGAAACCCTGTCTTGGGGGGGAACCTTGTTGAAATAATCTATCCTGAAGAAAGAAAATAGGAAAAAGAATTTAAACAATTCCCCCAAATCACACATTTACAAATATTGTTATATTTAATATGCTTGAAGACATGAATTAGTGGAAAAGTAGTTTTCTTAGGCAGGCTTTGGTGGCATACGCCTTTAATCCCAGCACTGGGGAGGCAGAGGTAGGCAGATCTCTGAGTTCGAGACCAGTCTGGTCTACAACAACTAGTTCCAGGACAGTCTCCAAAACTACACAGAGAAACCCTGTCTCAAAAAAAACAAAAAATAAAAAAACAAATTTGAGGCCAACCTGATCTATATAGCCTGACCCTGTCTCAAACAGGCCTGGTGACTCACACCTTTAATGCCAGCACTTGTGAGTCAGAGGCAAACAGATCTCTGTGAGTTCAAGACAAGCCTGGTTTGCACAGTGAGTACCAGGCCATTGAAGACTGCATAGTGAGACCCTGTACCCCCAGCTCTCTCTCTCTCTCTCTCTCTCTCTCTCTCTCTCTCTCTCTCTCTCTCTCTCTCTCTCTCTCTCTCTCTCTCTCTCTCTCTGTCACACACACACACACACACACACACACACACACCACACCTCAAAAGAAAAAAAAGACGGCTCAGCAGGTAAAGGTGCATGTCACCAAGCCTGATGACCTGAGTTGCATCCCCAGACCCATGGAGTGGAAGGAAAGGACTGATTCTAACCGCCACACATGTATAGACACATTAATAAATAAATGTAATTTAAAATTTTGTTTAATTATAATTTATCTATTCAGAGCATCTGTTGGTCCAGCAAATATGCGTTGCCTCCTGTGCTCCCTGGGGCAGAAAAAGACAGCGGTGTTGAATATGGGCCTGTTGCACCAGCCATGATGAGAACCGGCAGAACACCGTCTTGTTGAATGGCCACAGCTGTCCCCTGAGAGAAGGGTTGTCCCTTCCACCCCATCATGGGAGGGGAGTCATTTTAAGACAGGGTCTCTCTGTAGCCCTGGCTGTCTTGGAATTCACTGTGTAGGCCAGGCTGACCTGAAACTCTCACAGACCCACCTGCCTGTGTCTCCTTTAGTAGATTACTGGCATGTACCACCACACCCAGCTCACCCCATTTTAAAGATGAAGACACTGGTGCACAAGAACATACTTGTCCAGAGTCATACTGATGGGAAAGTACCGGAATGGGGGATGTCAGAGGCTCTGCAGCCTGTGTTGAAAATCACAGCTGACCCAGAATTAAAGAGTATGAGGCAGGAACCCGTGCCAGGAAAGCCTTCAAAGGCTGCCTGAGTGATGGACCTCGGCTGGCTAGGTTCCACAGCATTCTAGAACATTGCCACCAACTGGAGACCAAGTGTTCAGCACAAGAGCCTGAACTGGGCATTTCATATTTTTGTTGTAGTTGTTGCTTTTGTCTTTTGAGACAGGGTTTCTCTGTGTAACAGCTTTGGCTGTCCTGAAACTCACTCTGTAGACCAGGATGACCTCAAGAAGAGATCTTCCTGCCTCTGCCTCCCGAGTGCTGGAATTAAAGGAGTGCACCACCACCGCCTGGCGACATTTCAGATTCAAACCCTAACATCTGCTTCAGTTAAAGCTTCATTTCTTACTCCTTTTTCTTATTTCCCCGGTGGGTTCTGAAAGTCCTACACCACAGAAAATGCACAGAGCACTCAAGTGAACTGTGTGTGTGTTTCAGTTGGTGCCTGTGGTGAATACATGAGGCCAACAGTACCCTCCTCACACTGTTCTCCCAGGTCCTGTGGTGGTTAGCAGCGTTGATGGCAAACCTCTACCAGGCATGATGGCTTTACACACTCCACATTCCTCAGCTTGGTGGTCAGATCCCCAGCTTGGGGACTTGAAGCATGCTCCCGGGACCTCAGAAGCTGTGAGGACTTGCAGACACTTCTCAGTCTGGCATCTGACTTTTCTGTCAAATGAGAAGTTGGAGTAGAGTCATGCCTGTGACACGTGACATCAGAAGGGTTGTAAACTCACTGCATTTGTTAACTATGCGAAGAGCAGGAGCGAGGAGGGAAATGAGTCAGGGGAACCGTTAGTGTCTGCAGTGCAGCTCCTCCAGTCAGTTTTGAGGCTTGTGCCCCTTTCTAAAAGGACCTGAGACAGCCCGGCAGCAGTCGTGCACGCCTTTAATCCCAGCACTCAGAGGGCAGAAGCAGGTGGATCTCGGAGTTCAAGACCAGCCTGGTCTGTACAGCGAGTTCCAGGACAGCCAGGGCTACACAGAGAAACCCTGTCTTGAAAAAACTAACAAAAGGGACAGGGCCTGAGGCTCATTACAGTATCTAAAAGATGTCAGTTTGCCTTTTAAGGGATAAGCTAGGGAGTCTTCCAAAAGATTCCAAATGAGTAAATGCCTGTGACGGAGAGTTTAGCCCTGGGGTCCCTGAAAAGTAGGGTAGTAGAGGTTCCCTTTCCACCTCAAAGGCACATGTGGTCATCAACATGGTGGGTTGGATGTCCTGTCCTTGGACACAGGAATCCACAGTCTACACCCTGCTGTTGGGAGGGTGCTGGTCGGTGACAAGCCTTCTGAAAGCAGTGTAGGCGTGCAAGTCTGGAAGGGGCTTGTCTGCATGGCTGACGGCTCCTGACTAGGAAAGATAGGGCAGGTCACCGGTGCTGAACCGCAGCTAACCTAACCACCTTTTCTCTTGTCTGTTTTCTCCTTCCCACATTCTTGTTGTGTGTGTGTTCTGCCTGGGTTCTGTAGTACAAATCTGTGTTTAGGTCTTACTCCCAGGACTTCATGCCTCATCACCAAGCCTCCGTCCAACCTTTCCTTCCGCCTACCTCCTCTTCCTCTCCACATTTCCCACCTGTCCACGCGTCCCAGAGCTCGGACTTAGCGGTGCCCACCGTAAGCAGTCCGCCTCCCAGCACCGTGGACGGGCCTCTCTCGTCTTCTCAGGACAGCAGCTCTCATGGGAACCCTGTCCGCCTTCCTTCTGAAACCTCTTTCACTGACTCGGTGAGAACTCGACACAGACACTTCTGTGCACATCTGCACTTAGGCCTGCAGGCTTCTAGAAAAATGATGATGCTGCTCAGTCTGGCCCAGTCTGCTGCTGGCGCGAGCCCGCTCAAAGCATGGCTGGATTGATGTGGGGGCCTCAAAAGGTAGTATTGATCCACCTGTTTCCAGAGCAGAGACCAAATCTTTTATATAGAATTCCCATCATGCTAGGTATTGGACTGGTAACCGTTTAGAACAGTGAATTGTCACAAGGATAAGGTAGAAAACTCTACGAGCTTTCTGGTGTGTATCTGTAAAGAGGTCCAGACTTGTGGAGTAGAAGAGGCAGAGGTAAGGTTGCCTGTGGGGCCAATGCAAGGGTCCCTGTGCTTCACCAGAGCACAGGGAGGAATTGCACCACAGAGCGGAGGGGACAGATAGAGGGGCAAAGGGTCTGATGGGTGGGGACTTTTCTAGATTCTTGAGTTGTCAATTATGTTGCTTCTTGACCACTGTACTGAGACTCCCTACAGGCCCTGCTACATACTGGGGAGCCCCACAGGCCCTGCTACAAGTGGAGCAACTTTCTGGGAGTTTCCAGAATGAGCACTTTGGAGAAGGTCCAGCAGGAGACTGGGGCCGAACTAGCACAGGGACAAGAGACAGTGAGAGCAACTTTGTCCTCTGCCTGGGAAACACGTCCCAGGGATAACTGAGGTAGCTCGCAGGCCTGTTCTTTCTTGTGAAAGGAGCATCCTTTAACCCAGGTCTGCCCTCCCTGCAGCTGCCCTCTCTAGGCTGTGGAGGCTGGCCAGAGGGCCTGGCCCATTGTCTTTCCTCTTACTCTGTCTCCTCCTAGAGTGAAAATGCCACCAGTGAGGAGGTTGGTGGGGATGACTATGTCAATCTGTACTCCTCTGGCCAGACCAGCAAGGAGCCGGCTCCCTCTCGAGGAGTAAGTAACCTCGGGTGGGTGGCCTTGTACATGGGCCGGCCACTGCCCCCTCGAGGTGGCTTTCCTTGCAGCTGCTTCTATTGGCTGAGTCTCCATAAGCCTGCTGAAGCCAGCCCATCCTATGGATTATGGCTTCTGGAAGAGGTCTGCCCTGCTTCTGCTTCAGTGAGTGCAACACGTTTCAGAGCCTGTCTGGACGAGTCTCTAGAACTCTCCAGAAGCCACTGGTGGGGACTCTGGCCACAGCCCCAGATGCTCGCTGAAATTTCTTCCCATCATCCCTCTCGAGTGCTGATCTCCCTCTTCCAAGAGAAACTTTTACTCCTGTCCTTCAGATCCTCCCAGCATGCCTCACTGCCCTCAGTTACTCCCAAAGAAGTAGGCAAGTGATGGATATCCACACTTGTCCTTCCTGAGAGCAGAGTGCTCGAGGTCCATGCCTGTAGTATCCTGCTGCCCAGTGTGTGGCTTCAAGGTGCAAGGCTTCTGTGAAGCAGGAGGCTTTCCAAGTTTGGGTTCAGCAAAACGGGCAAATTGAAATGCTTCAGAGGTCACTTTTCCCATGCCCTAGGAGATGAGGTCAGAGGCACTGACCCCAGGAGACCAGAGGTCCTCTAGAGAATGAGGTCAGGTCTTCAAGGACAGAATCTCTACCAGGGATCACTGCACTGGCAAGGCCAGCCTGAATATCATGGTCCTCTACTAGGAATAGTCAGGCCGTAGTTCCCTGGGACTTTTAGTTGTCCCTGCCAAGGCACCTCCACCCCCTAGATGTCAGCACAGCATAAGGAGCTGTCCCTGCTGCAGAGTTTGGCTCTGTGAGAGCTGAACCAGCATCCCCACTAGTGACCTGTGTCATAGCATCATCCACCTCAGAGTGTACTTGAGGGAGTCTGTGCCCAGCCCCACTGTGGGGTACTCTCTGATGATGGTCCCCGTACTTCCAAGGTCTCTTCACCACCACTCATGACAGCTCAGGGACATTGTGGAATTGTATCGACACTGGGTATGGAGGCAGCTAGTCTGCCCAAGGCAATTCACATTTGTGTGTTTGAGCAGCTGGACTCTTTGAAACTGTCATTGGTTAAGATCATGACCCTGAAAGATTCTGTGTAGTGGTGAAGGAGGCAGACAGCCCTGAAGGGGTCAAGTCTGCTGACTGCCACTTAGCAGCTGTGTGGTGTCCCTCAGCAGGCCCCTGACTTGCTTGTGGTTAGTTTGTGTAGGGGACAGAGGAATGAGGGTGGACGAGGAGAGGTGTGCAGAGCCCTCAGTCCAGTCCCCCTCCTCCCATGCTCAGAGAGGACTTCCTGGGACTTCTTCAGGAAGTGGGTAAGCTATCTATACCCAGGTTGGCAAGTGATAGATGTTAGGAGTGGCACCTCCGCTGTCTCCAAAGACAGTGTTGGTCTCCAGAGGGTGTTTCTGGTAACGAAGCCCATGCATCATTGGCTTGTTCCCACCGCCAGCTGCTCCATAGGCCCTTGCCCTCGGCCACTCCTGCAGGCAGGAGTGCAGAGAAGACAGACCACCCCAGCATGGGCTGTCTGTCCAGCCCCACCATTCTTCTCTGCAGGAGCCACCATCCGGGAAGGACGGGCATCCCAGAGATCCCTCGGTCAACAGTGCTTCTGGGAAGGACAGCAGAGAAAACGGGGAGAGGTAAGAAGTGAGCAGGGAGAGTCCAGGCCCCAAGAGCAGTGTCACTCAGCAGGCCACCTGTGTTTTGTGTTGGGACTCTTTATTTTTCTGATTCTCAAAATTGTCTGTGTTCAGGGTGGAAACTACAGGGAAACAAAGATCGCTAATAACCTACCCTTCAAAGGCCTCCTCAGCAGCCAGCATGCCTTCCTGCTCATACCTGTGCTGTCTGCTATCCCACACCCACTCAGGGACCCTTTTCTGTCACAAGCCTCAGCCCCACCTTCCTTGATTTTGGTTTCTTCCAACTTGAGGTCACATAGGAAGTATAAAAGACCTTCCCATTCACACACTTGTCATTATGGGCATTTCAAGTCATAAACGTGTGTATTGTGTAGCTAAGCCACTTTGAAAGTAAGTTTACAGGTATTATGACCCTTGGCCCCTCTCTTGACAAGTGGAAATAGTGTTCACAATGTCATTGTTGCACCAGAGACAGAAAAGGTTCCCTCATGTCACCTGGAAAACAAACTCAGAAGTTGATCAGTCTCTCCTGCCTCACCCCAGGGAGAACCTAAGGCCTGGTACATGCCAGAAAAGTGCTGTAACTGAGCTACAGTTCCAGCCTCTCCTCCTTGGAGTGTCTTACATAACTTTTGGTTTTTATAACCCAAGCCTTGTGGTGCCTTTAGACACATTGTCTCTCCACTCCTTCTCAGTGGTAGTTAGCCTTGCAGAAGGGTAGCTAGTTCCCTGGAACCACTTAGTGCAGTCTGAAGGAGCTGCCAGTGAGACCCCCTGCTGCCTAATGTGGATGTCACCTTCCTTACGAGATGCAGCAGCTGGTCAGGCTTTCCCTTGTCTTATGTCACCTGAGGCCTCATCGATTCAGCACAGCAAAGCACTGCCCACTTGTCAATGGCAGACATGGGTGGAGGCAAGGTGTCAGAGGCTTTGGTTTGTTGTTGTTTTTTGTTTTTTGTTTTTAATGGGAAGAGCGGCAAAGACCTGCAAGCACTTTGGACAGGCCACCTGCCCACCAGTGTTCTGGCCACTCTTGGGTTCTCACTGCCATAAGTCTGTCTGGTGACTCCCCCAGACCAAGTTTCCCCCCAGGTGTTAGAAGCAGGGGTGGATTTTCTAGTATACCACTTAGTCAGAAAGGCTTGTGTGTGCCAAGCAAAAGCAGCCTGTGGAATGTGTCACCTGCTTCACTGGAATCAGGTGTCACGTTCAGATGTTCAGGTTACCCATCTCCTGAGGGAGGACTCTCCTAAGAGCAGACTTCTGATGGTGGAGTGGCAGAAAGATGAGCACACTGTGATCAGAGAGCGCTCCTGAGACATTGTCTCCCGTGCATAAAGGCCACACCACTGGCCAGCCTTCTAAGGCGGCAGCAAGCATGGCTCTCCCCAAGCCCTAGTCATTCACATTCTTACTGAGACAGAGATCCTTGCAGCTTGGCTGAAGAGAAAATGTGCCCTGAGGACCGAGCAAGGGACTCAGTGGATAAGGTCACTGCTGCCATGGTGGGTCCCTGGGACCCAGTACTGAAAGGAAAAACTGATTCTCACACATTGTCCTCTGACATCACACATGCACTGTGGCGTGTGTGCATGAGCACCCACACAAGATAAATTAAGATGTGATTAGTGTTGTTGGGGTGGGGGTAGTGTCCGTGACAACCCCAAGGCTGGCCAGTGTCCGCTGGATCTGGCCTGAGAATCTTCTTTGAATGCCTTTAGCTGCCCACACTGGAGAAGTCTCATCTCTTCCTTTGAGCAGATGCTATTCAGCGCTTTAAGTCTGTCCAGGACAAGAACCTTCCCTCTTGCTCCAGTGCCATGGCTGCCTGTTTTAAAGGCCATCTCTTACGATATTGAACACTTGATGACGTGGGGCCACACCTGCTGGGTCACAGCATTTTTTTTACTGTTCAGCAGAAGGTCTGCAGAGTTGTACCCCTGGGAAAGGGCTTGGGGATGGCGTGGAGGAACATGGGGCTTTTGCAGCCCCCTTCCTGCACTTCCCTATGTGCTGCCCTTGTGTGTATGTGGTACAGCTGGACAAGTTAACGCCATCACAGAGGGCCACTTTCACACAACAGCCTAGTCCTTCCCATTTGCACAAGAGACTTCCAGAGAACAGAATTGTCCCCAGGCAGAGCCAGGAGGCTAACTGTCACCCTGGCTCTGCCCACCACTCCAACTTGGTGTTATAGTTGCCACTCAGGGCTTGTCCATGAGCAGCTCATACACCCTGGCCTATGTGTAGGCAGACACTTACTTTTTCTGTTACTGTGAACAATGACCTAAGGGAGAAAGGGTTTGTTTTGGCTCAGAGTCCGTAGTGATGGGGAGTCACAGCACAGGAGCTTGAGGCAACCGACACTACATTCGCCATCAAGAAGCAGAGCAGTGAGTGCTGGTGCTTAGCTCTTTTTCAGACAGTCCAAGACCCCAGCCCAGGGATGGTGCCACCCACAGTGAGTGGGCCCTCCCATCTCACCTCACCTACTCAAACATGCACAGAAGCCTGGCTCCTCTGGGTCTCAGTAAGTTGACGGTTAAGATTAACCATCACCTGGATTGCCTCAGCCTCCAGGCCTCCAGGGACTGGGGAACCCAGGCCATGTCTGACACTCTCAGCACCAACCACTTCTCCTCTCAGGTCCCCAAAGTCACTAGATGCTCTGGAGTCAGCCCAATCAGAAGAGGACGTGGATGAACTGTCCCTCATTGACCACAATGAAATTATGGCCAGGCTGACACTCAAGCAAGAGGTAAGGGTTCCCCAGGCTGGACCTTATAGCCACCCAGCAAGAGGTAAGGATTCCCCAGGCTGGACCTTATAGCCACCCAGCAAGAGGGAGGGGAGGAGAGAGAAATGTGGCCTTGGGTACTCCAGCAGGGAGACCCGAGTCAGGCAGCTCCTGGGCTCTTGGGCTCCCAGCTAAAAAGGGTTCTGGGAGAAGCTCACAGTCCCTTTCTTACTATTTCCCAAAAGTGAACTTGGGCCTTTCAAAGTCTCTCTGAGCCTCATGCAGGTGTTTCTGAGGGCACTGAGCTGTGCTCAGTGTAGCCTGCATGGGACGCCCTTAGCAGTGTGCTACATGTATACGCTGTTGATAACATAGCCCCTCTACTTCCTCTGGTGTCTCCTGTTAAGAAAACTGGGGCCTGGACTCTGAGCTGGGCTTTGTTTGAGGAGCCCTATTGATAACAACACCCAGACATTTCATAAAAGAGGAAGAAGCTGGCCCAGAAGCATTGTCTTTCCTCTGTACTGTTCTGGAAATTTAGGGTTCCATGGGACATCTCAGCCCCTGAGTAGCTGTACATCTGGGAACTATTTTGATGGTTACAACATACAGAGAGCAGGTGCTGCTCTGTGCATGTTCCTGGGCAAGCCTCAGTGGCTTCCTAGCACCCCAGAAAGATGTCGGCACTGAGGCCATCAAGAGGCTGGCAGGGTTAGCAGGGTCCAGGCAGAGCCTCTGCAGGAAGAACTAAATGGCTTCTGGAAAGTCAAGTCAGGAACATAGCCAACCTTGTCCCAGATGGGAAACCCAGAACACTCAGAACTCTGGAGTCCAGGTGGAAACTGCAGAGTTAGGCATCCATGGTATACACAGATGGGATATTGGCTCTGTCTCTTTCAGAGTCACATAGTTCAGTTCCCAACCCCACCTACAGCTCTGTCACCACAGCAAATGGGAGCTTGTTTGCCTATGGAAATAGAGCTGATCTTCCACTGGCAGACTCAGTTGGTGGCCATGGACACATCCGATGGCATGAGCAGTCTTGTTATGTTTTGTGCTCTTCTAGTGAGGAACAACCTGCAGGGCACATCCCCACAGATGAACCTGCTTCTACCTGGGAAAGACCTAAGCACAAAGGTGGCTTCCTGTCACCCAGGCTACGGGGCTGCCTGTCTCTTCTGGGATCTCACCTTTCAGTATAAGCCAGGAGGTAGAGGTGGAGTTGAAGCCATAGTGCCCTGACCCCACGTGTCCTCTGAAAGGTGATGTGCTCTGGTACCCACAGCATCTGGACAGCTTTCTCGGTGCCAGTTTCTTACAAGAGTTCTGACCAGTGCCCATCCGCTAAGTCTGTGGCAGCAGGGTCTGCAGAGGCTGTGTGGTGTGCACAGCGCTGCTGCTGAGCCGGAGAATGGAAGGGAGGGACTCGGGGTCCCCGAAGCATGCTCTTTTGTCATCTCAGTCTTCCCTCGTACTCTTCTTTCTCCAGGGTGATGATGGGCCAGATGTTCGTGGAGGTTCAGGAGACATCTTACTGGTCCATGCTACTGAGACAGACAGAAAAGGTATGGCAGCTTCCACTGCAGTGACCTTATGTCCCACCAAAGTCGTCACGTGACCTGACTGCACTGTCACTCCTGGCAAACACTGACTGGCTTGAACTTCGGGCCTGATGGCACTGGGTCAAAGGAGGGAGAGGCCACCTCTGGAGACCCTGACTCTGTCAAAGTTGTGCCTGGGCATGTCCTCTCCAGGTTAAGGTGTTGATGCCCTTGACCCCACGGGCAACCTGAGGTACATCAGTCGTTGGTGCCTCATATGTGCTTCAAGGGCAGCCCACTGGCTAATGACATGTTCAACAGCTGTATTAAAGTTAAAGCAGCCACTGTGGCACACCTATAATCCTAGCGCTCAGGAGACTGATAGAGCGGAGTCGTGAATTCAGAGTCAGCTGGGGCCATATAGCAAGGCTCTTTCTACATGGTCAGCCTCTTCTACATTTCCTTATATTTAAGTTGTTCTTTTCTTTTCTTCCACATATTTAGTTCACATAGTCGACTAGCAAGTTCCTACAAACAAAATTTGTTGTCCAGGAGTTCCCCAACTTCACCGTCCACTCTACATCATGGTCATCTGGGAAGCAGGGGCTTACGTAGGCTCTGCTAGCAAAGAAGCCATCTGTCCCATCAGGTTCTGTAGGGAGGAAACCAGGTCCTTGAGCTGGCCTAGGATGAAGATGCCAATGACCCCCAGGCCAGGCAGAGCCTGCCCCGCCCAGCCTCAACAAGGCTGCTGTCCTAGTAGGGCCTGCTTCTTCCCATACCCATTTTCTTTCTTACTCTTTTTCTTTCTTTTCTTTTTTGAGACAGGGTGTGTATTCCAGAGGTCCTCTTCCTACATTTTTTAAAGGATTTAAAAGGGGAAGAGCATGCTAACACCTGCCTTTAATCTCAAGATTTGGGAGGCAGGAGGATTTGTGAGGCTCCAAGGTTATATGGGGAGACCCTGTCACAAAAAAAACAAACAAAAAAGGAGCTGACATTAAAAGCACTTGCCTAGCAATGAATGAGGCCCTAGGATTAATCTCCAGTGCTGGCAGAAAAAGAAAAAGAAAAATAATAACTCAAAAGTTGATGTAACCAGATAAAACTGTGGATGAAATTACTTCGGACTTAAAACCTTAACCCAACTAGCTTTGTCTTTTTTCATTTTTTTTGACCTGGACCCAAAGTAAATTATACAGAGTGGTTCTGGAAATTTCTGAATTAAATGAAAACTTTTCCTGGCAGAAACGGAAAAGGGAAGTGACTCGTTTAAGCTTATTCCCACTAGAGCCGCTGTTGAGTTCTCCAGCATCCCAGCATCTCTTCACTCATTCCTTTCAGGATAGAAGTAGTCCTAGAGGCTCAGTCCAAAGCCCACCACAGCCTCACTATGGGACAGTCCTTTCCTCCAGGGCCTCGGTTCCCTGACCTGTTGAGGTTGGTGGTACAGGCGGTGCCCAGAGCTGCTTTAGTGACCACTCAGGTCACTCTGGCAAAGTAGCTATTTTCACTTCATTGTCATCCAGAAGTGAAGAGCTAGGATGTAGCTGGCTTCTGGCCCAGCCTATTGAAGCTGCCTCTCCCGTCCTACCAGGCCAAAGGGCACTCTGGACAGGGAGCCCGGGAGCCTTCTGGTCTACCCACTGGGTCTGTGTAAAGGAGACTTTTGAGTTGAAGTTTCAATAGGATTTGGGGTCCCTGCAGAGCCAGAATTGGTTTTACCTGGGATTCTTACCTCAGACAGAGGCCATGAGCCACGCCAGAGGAGACAGGGTACCCAGAGCAGATGGCAAAACTCTTTAGGCTGGTGGCTTTTTTGCACCAGTGGTATATGAGTGATGCAAAGGCCCTGAAAGCCACGGCCCATATGTCTGGGACTCAGCTGTGACAGGTATGCAGGGAGGAGGGCACACTTGTCATTATACAGCTTTTCTCTTAGGTGGCACTGTGAGACATGTGGGACAGAGCCAGGTTGGGTTTGATGTTGGACCCAACCTCAGATCCTGTCCCTTCCCTGGGACCTGTGTGCTAGACCTGCTGCTTGACCCCCAAGCTTCCATTCCTCTGAAGGTCACTGGGGATCTTAATCAAAACAGTCTATGAGCACTGTACAGTTTGACTCAGGCTCCCACTCAGAAGCCCCGTGATACCACAGCCAGCTGTTGCTGAGGGCTCCAGAGGCAACAGACCTGGGCTGTGTCCAGCGTGGTACAGCACAGCCATCCTGGAGTCTCATACATGAATTTCTTTAGCTTCCAGCCTGGGGAGTATGGCTTGTGCTCATCAGCATACTAGAATACACCCTACAAGAGTCCACTGGCTCCCAGCAGTGGTCCTTTGCATTGGTACCCATTCTTCCAGAAACAGGTGTATGTATCGGTCCCATCTCTGTTCTTTTGTCTGGAACTCTTTCTAGAAAACCCCAGCAAAACAGTGAGCTGGTAGATTAGAGTACAGCTGTGAGCTAAGCACAGTGCAGGGAACCAGCTCCCATGCAGCCCAAATGCAAGAGCAAGCAGATACTCCTGGCCACAGTGTGGTGGTACTCTTCTGCCCCAGCAAGTGGGGAAAGTATAAGAGAAGGTCAGGCCGGGCGTTGGTGGCGCACGCCTTTAATCCCAGCACTCGGGAGGCAGAGGCAGGTGGATCTCTGTGAGTTCGAGGCCAGCCTGGTCTACAGAGCGAGTTCCAGGAAAGCCTCCAAAACAATACAGAGAAACCCTGCCTCGAAAAACCAAAAAAAAAAGAGAAGGTCGGGGAGGCTGGTGTGGACCCAGAAAGTGAAGCTCAGTTAGTACTGGTGTGCACCCAGCCATATGGTGAGCTTTCCTAGGTTCTGTGTGGTACAGCACAGCCAACCCTAAGCTAGCCCACTGTGTCTCACATGACATCCTGTGCTAATTAATAATCTAAAGGCATGGGGAAAATAAGTCACAGCAGTAAACAGGGTTGTTGGAACTTGGGAGAGGCAGAAATCCCTTGGCTGGCAATGCCCTTTCCCTTTGAAAAGGCTGGGTGCTGCCAGCCTAAGGCCTCCAGCCACCAGGGCTTTGGTCCTCACAGCTGCCCTTGCCCTTTGTGGGCAGCCAGCCTTCTGCTGAGCCTTCCAGCAGACAGGCAGGCACGTCAACCTCCCCTTAGGGCTTAGAATGGAATTCCCACACTTTTGAATTACTGGACCTGTCTAAAAGTATGGCCTCTGGTTTGACTGCAAGAGCCTGCTGCCAAGTTTGAACTACTATCTCTGCCCATAGCAGTGAGAAGCCATGGAACCCCTGGGCTCATTCAGGGGTGACACAGTCTAGAGCCAGTGTGCCCAGGTCTCTGCCCCTTACCTGCACAAGGTCACTGAGTAATTGAAGTTCATTTTCTACACTGAGCCTCAGACCCTCCCACAGCTTGGTTCCCCAGGCAGCCAGTGCCTGTGAAATGAAAGATGCAGGACACAGTCAGGAAACAAAACCCTGCCTTGCCCTCCCTGGCCTGACCGTCAGAGGACTCAGCGTGGTACCCATGCTGCAGTCCACAGCCCACACCCTGGGCCCTGCCTAAATGGCTCCTTTGTACTTCTGCAGACCTGGTGCTGTACTGTGAGGCCTTCCTGACCACCTACAGGACCTTCATCAGCCCTGAGGAGCTCATCAAGAAACTGCAATACCGATATCCTTCCCACGCCTGCAGCCGCCAGCCTGTGCAACCATTTTTACTTGTGTATACCATTTCTGATGATATCATTGAGGAAAGTGAAGCTGGGCGTGTTACCTGGGCATACAGGTTAACTGATGTGCACAGTATCGCCAGCCCTCAGGGTCTCAGCCCTTCCCCTGCTGGCCTGTTCATGGAGGCCCCACCCCCTCAAGACCCAGGCTAGCACATTCAACTTTGCAGTGGGGCCCAGTTCCCATCCCCAGCTGTGTCTGCTCCTGACTCACAAAATGACAGAAGGAACTGTGAAATGACGTGGAGGGCCCGGAACAGAGCTCTGCTGTACTGCTGAGGATGGGTGGGACCATTAGGTGATTCGGGGGCGAGGGGGGCAGCAGACAACAACAATGCCAACTCTGTGACTTCAAGGCAGACCTGACCCCTTCTACCTGCCCTGGCTAGGTAGTAGACAGCTCCTCCCCCCAACCCAGGCCTCACCCCTGGGGATTGTCATTCCCTGTGTTAGTTAGGTTAGAGACCCTGTAGTCTTGGCAGAAGGCACATATGCTGCCTGTTCCCCTTTCTCTGTCCTGGGCCTGCCTGGGGACCACCCTTACTGGGTCACCTCCCAGCCACATAGCCTCTGACCGCCATCTACTGGGCATCTGCTGTCACTGGGACAGTGCTCTTCAGTCCTCCGTGCCCTGAATCCACCCCCTGTCCTCAGTCTGACCCTGACTAACCGTCCTGGCCTATCAGGACAGATGTGGTCGTTTTCCATTTGTGGGCTCCAAGCATCTGCTAGAGCCTGGCCTAGTGAAAAACTGTCAGCCACATCTGCCAGAAACATGTCAAACCTGACATGTATTTGTACGTGGGATCCCACTTGGCTCTGAAACCATTGTTACTTCCTTTACACCACTTCCTATGGTGCCAGTGAAATGAAGGGTGATAACTGACCCGCATATGCCCACTGCCAACCTCTGCTGCGCCCTCAGTTTCTCAGCTCTTGCCCCTTAGCCTCAGCATTTCTCCCTCCGTCCTGGACCAGGACTTTACTGGGGGCCAGGCAGGCCATCCATGCAGTGGGACTCCCCTTAATTGCCAGCATGCACATAGGTCATGGGCCAACATGCACATAGGGAGAGTTGATGGGGACTGGACAGCAGCAGGAAGCCACAGTCTCCAAAGTAGACCCCGGTGTCAGTGATCATGAGTCAGGTGTGAGGTCTGTCATAGAATGGGGTGGGGAAACACCTGTAGAGTCTGCTGCTCCCACAAGGAAGAACCAGCCTGGCTTTCCAATGTGCAAACGTCCAGGAGTATCCACACCATTGTGACCATGTGCCTGGGGGAATGATCTCCAGATGGAAGCCCATAGAATGGAGAGGGAGGCCTTTTGGGCATGTTCACTCTCTGGGTCCTGGATCTTTGCGGGTGTCTAGATGCACCATGACCCTCAGCATGTCAGCACTCAGGTCCAACCACAAATGCCCTGGCTGGTGCCAGAGTTGGTCTTGCAGACAGAAAGGCAGTGGCCTGGACTGGCTTTGCACATTCCTGCTGCACACAGGCCAGGCCTTTGCTTCCATAAGCTCGGCCTTTACTCGCAGGGTTCCCAGCACTGTAAGTGGCTGCTTATGGGGGCAGTGGGGCTCAAAAGTCACATTCCATGCAGACCCTGCCTTATGAACCTTAACCCACACTTCACGTATGAGAAGTTCTCTCCCTTCGCTGACACATTCAAGAAGCGAGTCAGCAAGAACACTTTCTTTGTGCTGGTGCGAGTGGTGGATGAGCTATGGTGAGTGCCTTGCCCCAGGGCCCAGGAGTGGTTGGCGAATGTTAGGACTGGGCATTGCAGCCAGGCCGCTTAGCAAGCTCTGGGGTGATGCAGGCTTCCTCACCTGGATCGTGCGACCGTTACACTCCACCCTCTGTGGGGATGTGCCCCCAGCACAGAGTTGCCCACTGGTTCCATTGCTTCACCCCAGCTCTGAGAGGAACAGACCCTACAGACCAGGGGTGGGTCCCACACCCTCAAGAGAACCCCCGCCTCATTTGAGACTGTCCCTTCCTGTCTTATCTTAAGGCTAGTTCACATAAGACAGCAGCATAGTGAGGCCAAGTGGAGGCTGGGGTGGGTGGAGAGGCTGCATCTCTACGCGATCACCACAGCCACAGGTCTATCTGGACCTTGGGTGCGCCACGTCCGAATCCTTGCCCTTGGGGCATCTTGCTCTTGTGTGGTGACTGTATCACACTAAGGTCAGAAATGGAGGGCTCCTTGGAGATGAGGGTCTTCTGGCCTGATATCCCCAGGTTAGACCAGGAGCTCCCTCAAGGCCGAAAGCAGCGAGTGTGTGGAGTGAGTTGGCAGGGACCTATTCCAGAAAGGCCATTCCCAGCATTGTCCTCAACTGGGGCCCTGGCCTACCTTTCACCAAGTGCCCTTGACCCTCAGCCTGGTGGAGCTGACCGAGGAGATCCTGAAACTGCTGATGGAGCTGGTCTTCCGCCTCGTGTGCAGCGGAGAGCTCAGCCTGGCCCGCGTGCTCCGGAAGAACATACTGGACAAAGTGGACCAGAAGAAGCTGCTCAGGTGTGCCCATTCCGACCAGCCTCTGGCAGCCAGGGGTGTCGCAGCCAGGTGAGGAGCCAGGGTCCCAGCCCCGTGCTGCAGGCCAGAGCTGAGCCCAGCAGCTGCCTTGGCTCACAGCCCTGTGAGATGTATGCTCAGGGACAGCCCTGGACTCCCATGACTGGGCCTCTCCCCATGCAAAGGGCACTGAATAGACGGGATGGATGTGCTCTGGGCTTTGGTCATCTCTGGACTTTCCCAGCACCAATGTTACCTCCTATGCCATTCTGACTTCCTAAAAGCCTGGGAAAGTCTCTCCTGCCCTCTGCCCAGCTGGTGGGGGGTGTCGGATGGTAGTCATGTAGGAAGCCAGTTACCCTGAGAGCAGCACTATGACCCAGAAGAACCCATGGAGCTAAAGCCTGCATCACTGTCCCCCAAACATGCTTCTCATGCTGTGTTCCAGGCCAGGGACCTTGCATGATTTCCACAGCCACGAGATAGCAGAGCAGCTGACACTGCTGGACGCCGAGCTTTTCTATAAGATAGAGGTATGTGCTCAGTGGCCCTACAGGGAAGCCGCTGCTGACTGTCCCTAAGAAGAGCCCCACCCCAGACCCAGGAACACCACAAACTGTGATGTCATCTGTTCGCTTTCCACCCAGATCCCAGAAGTGTTGCTTTGGGCCAAAGAGCAGAATGAGGAGAAGAGCCCCAATCTGACCCAGTTCACAGAGCACTTCAACAACATGTCCTACTGGTGAGAAGGGGCCACAGCCCTTGCTCAGGTGGTCTGGGTGGAGAGGTTGGATGGTCAGTCCTGAGCCCTTTCTGGGGCCTGTGGGCAGCAGAGAGAGGGTGGGCGGGGTGACTCCTGCGGAGCCGGTTGAGGAGGCACCACAGGCTCTGCAGTGCAGGGAAGAGTGCCAGGATGGGTTGGTGAACCCTGCTGTGAGGGACCGCAGGGCGGGAAGGGCACTTCCCTCAGGTGTTGCTCATTGCCACTCTCGGCATAAGCCATCAGCGCTGCAGCTCACCTGATTGCCCGGAGACACAGGCTTTGATTTCTCCATGAGTTCTTTTCTTTGGGGTTGGGCAGGGTCTCTCTACATAGCCCTTGCTGGCTGTTCTGGAACTTACCATGTAGACCAGGCTGGCCTCGAACTCACAGATCCGCCTGCCTCTGCCTCCTGAGTGCTGGGATTAAAGGCGTGCGCCACCAACGCCCTGCTTGTCTCTGGATTCTTAAAGCAAAGTGAAGACCAGCACTGTGTATAACCCAGTCATTTTGCCTTTTCGAGATGAAAAGTCCTGCCCCATGTGCATGCCTCCCAGGGCCCCTGGGGAAGGTTTCATTGCTTCTCCCCTGCCCGGGAAGCACCCTCCCCTCAGCAGAAGCCACCATTCCAATCTGAGTGTGCTGGTTTCAGGGTTAGAGTAGCTGCTCCCCCCTGAGCCTTGCCTGATTCGGGCTGCTGCTAGCAGCAGGAAGCCCAGAGTAGGCTGGAAGCACACAGCACCTTTGGAGCCATGGCCTCTGACATGTCCCTGACACAAGTGCCCTTTACAGGATAGGAGAGTAGCCCTGCAGTGGCCATTGTAAACCACAAGAGTTGAGGCCACCATGAGGTTAACCAGGCACAGGTGAGGCTTGCCTTGGCTTTCAGCCCCAGTTATTGCCAAGGCTCTAAGTTTCCATCCGTGTGGCTGGCCAAGTGGTTTCCTACTCAGCTGTTGGCTGATCCCTAAGGCAGCATCAGCCCCCATGAGTGAGGCCTTTCCCTGCTGAAAAGATGCTTCAACCCCCAAGGCTTCCCTGAGGTTCAGGGGACACCCTGAGACCAGGGACCAGGCCCGTGCTTGTGCTTCCCTGGTCTCCAGTTGGATAAGAACTTGTGCCCAACTGGCACAGGGGTCACACGTATGTCATCTAGCAGGGCCACCAAGCCTATGGAGGGTGGTCAGCTCAGCTGTTGCTTATCTGGCCCTTTCCTATAGGGTACGGTCCATCATCATGCTGCAGGAGAAGGCCCAGGACCGGGAGAGGCTGCTCCTGAAGTTCATCAAGATCATGAAGGTAACTGTGGCTCAGTGCCCAGGGCTCTCCCAGCTCTGTCTGGGGAGGCTGCAGTCATCAGCCCCGCCCTGCCCCGCCCCTGCTCCTTCCCTCACCACCGCCTCTCTTCACAGCACCTACGCAAGCTGAACAACTTCAACTCCTACCTGGCCATCCTCTCAGCTCTGGACTCGGCCCCCATCCGCAGACTGGAGTGGCAGAGGCAGACCTCAGAGGTGGGTGGTCAGAAGTCTGAGCAGGCTGCGTGGACCCCATCTGTCTCTGGTCTCCAGTCGGCAGGTCCTGGGGCTTTCATGGTTGGTTGTGGGCTTGCCAACTCTCCCTGCGCCCGGGTCCCGGCTGCTCTGGCCTCCGTACTGCATATTAGCACTCCGTAGCAAGTGCGTGCTAGAGGTAGGACAAGTGAGTCCACGAGCAGTGCCTTCTCTGAGGACGGGTACTTACATCACCCACAGGGGCATGTCACACCAGCAGGCCTGAGGCTCTCGGCCACAGGTGTCAGCGGGGCCTGAGTCTGGCATGTTATGGGCACCTGGCTTCATCGCATATCACTAATCCACCTCCATCCTGCAGGGCCTGGCCGAGTACTGCACATTGATTGACAGCTCGTCCTCTTTCCGCGCCTACCGGGCTGCCCTCTCAGAGGTGGAACCCCCGTGTATCCCATACCTGTGAGTTCTCTCCCCTCCCACCTCATAGACATCTCAGCTCCCTCCGCTCAGCTTTAGTGGGGCTTGTTGTTGTTGTTGGTTTCACCTTTTAATATGTATTTGAAGTAAGTGTGTGTGTGTGTGTGTGTGTGCGCGCGTGCGCGCGCGTGCACCATGTATGTACAGTAGCTCACAGAGGTCAGAAGAGGGAATGGGATACCCTGGAACTAGAGTTACAAGTAGTTCTGAGTGGCCGTGTGGCTGGTCTTCTACAGTAGCAGTAAGCACTCTGCACCACTGAGCCATCTCTGGTTTTAGTCCATTTGACTGTTCAGTTAACAGTTTCACATTAGCAGCCACAACTCTGTCTGACCCCACAGCCAGGACTTAGAAGTGCTCCAGGCTCTTCCAGTGCTGAGCTAGTTTTAAGGGGGAGTGCAGAAGGCAGGGATTCATGTGGGTCAAAAGACCACCTAAATCTTCTCTGACTTGTTCCGGGGTTCGGTAGCCGCTTGTCATGGGCTACAGTTCTGGTGGCAAACCAGCTCACAGCAAAAGAGCTGCCTCCTAAGTCTCTCCATACAGTAAGTGGCCTCTGCCTTCCTCCCCTCAGAGGTCTGATCCTGCAGGACCTGACCTTCGTTCACCTGGGAAACCCAGACTATATCGACGGGAAAGTGAACTTCTCCAAGCGGTGGCAACAGTTCAACATCTTGGACAGCATGCGGTGCTTCCAGCAGGTGTAAGTGCTGCCCAGAGGGCCAGGAGCCTGCATCTGTGGGCTGGGGTGCAGTCAGGACAGCATGGGGAAGTCCACATAAAGGGCTGACTCCTTGTCTGCCCTGGGTCTGTCCCTGTGCTGCAGCCAGCTTGTCCTCCCAATTACACACAAGTCAGGAAGAGGTTCTCTCCAGGCCGTAAGAAGGAGACTGACTGATCTACAGAGTTTCAGGACAGCCAAGGCTACACAACGAATCCCTGTCTGGAGAAAACAAGGAGGAGGCTGACAATACAGCCTACCCGGCTGTAGGGCAGTAGGGCCGGCTTGGACATCAGGATGGCACCATGTCCCAGAGGGGTCTGCCCCGAGAAGCCAGGCTTCCCGTGGGGTGCCGCTGCAGCAGTGCGGGTTGGAGGTCCAGAGCTCAGAGTGGGCTGCTCACACTGATGTGTGTTCTGGGGCTGAATGCTGCTGTCCCCTGTCAGGCTGGGTAGCAGTGACACGGCCAGGCAGCTGACTGAAGGCCCACAGTAGTTCGGGTTGCACCCTGTGAGAGGCTCTGGCCTGGCTGTTCCGCTGGCCCTGAACTCACTGACTGCCCCTCTCCCCTCAGGCACTATGAAATCCGGAGAAACGACGACATCATAAACTTCTTCAATGACTTCAGCGACCACCTGGCCGAGGAGGCCCTATGGGAACTCTCTCTAAAAATCAAACCCAGGAACATCACAAGGCGGAAAACAGACCGTGAGGAGAAGACCTAGGAGCAGGCTGGGTGTGAGAACGCCGAGCGGCCCAGAGAGGACCTGGACCATCCCAGCTTCAGAGCCTGTCCACAGCTTGGCTGTGTGGCAGCACCGAGCCTGCTGGCTGGTTTCCTGCCTCTCTCCCTGTGGCTAAAGCCCCAGGGCCCACAACAAGCGCAGGCATCACGACTGGCTTGTGAACTGGCGGCCCCTGGTCTGGTTTTGTTTTGTTTTCTGTCAGTGCTCCCTCCTGTTCCCTACGTCCCCCTCCAGCTGGGGAGCAACAGAGACCTGAGCAGCACTAGGGCAATGGTGGCTCCAGCCCTCAAGGCTGCCCTAGCCTGCTTAAGTGGCAGATGAGAGGAGGCCCCAGGACCCTTGGGTGGGTGCCCTCCAGGGCACCTGAAGCCAGGGGAGATGGGAGGCAGAAGGTGGAGAAGGACCATGGCAGGAATCTTTTGCTGTCCATTCCCTGCCTTTTAAATGCAGAGGAGGGGGCGTGTAGACCTGGCCCAGACAACCAGGTGGGTGACAGACAGCAGCCAGAGCTGGCATTCCTCACAGCACTGGCCCCAGACCTGTCCTGCCGTGCATGACGGCTCACCTGCTGCACTGTGACAGCTCCATGAGCACCTTCCGTCCTGATGCGCCCACCACTGCCCAGCCCCAGCCCCAGCCCTAGCCCACACCACACCACTGGCACTGTGGGGATCAGGAAGAGGAGGCAGAAGGAAGCAGGAGTCCGTGCTGAGCTGGGGCCAAGGCTGTGCTTCTGAGTAGATCAAAGAGTGAGGATCTTAGTGACCTAGGGAGAGGCAGGCAGCCCCTCCATGCTTGCTGTGTGCCTTAAATGCCACCTCCTGTCCCTTCCAGGCCTATGGGCTTCTCTCTTACTTTGCCCCAGTCCTGGCAGCCAACAGGTCCCTAGTCCCCTTCTGCTCCCTGGGAATTCCAGGTGTCCCCGAGAAGACTGAGCAGGCCTGGGGTGTGAGTGCCTCCAGAGCCTCCTGATTCCAGGCAGGTGCTCTTCCCCGACTCGGAGCAACCCACTGCTGCTGAGGTTGACAGTCGAGGGCAAGATGTTCAGAGCTCAGTGCTGGGGCCCACAGGCCGTGGCTCCACGACCATCACCGTGGCTAGGTGGCAGGGCTCGGGTCAGAATCCAGACATGCTGCTGGCCCTGCCCCAGGCCTCCAGTTCACTTTTGCATGAACAAGCAGCCATTTCTTCTGGTCAAGTGGACTCCAGGATCTCTGTGCTTCCTCAACCCAGTCGTCACAGCAGAAGAGAAGGCGGAGCAACAGCTGCTGGCTGGGAACAAGTTTGAAACAACTGTCGCTCTGAACCCCTCCTGGGTTTTTTTTTAGCAGCTTTCATCAAAAAAGGAACTGTGGTCTGTTCTGCCCTCCCTCCTGTTTATTTCTGCTGTAAATAGAGAGGGGGCGTCCAGGAACAGCCCCTTGGCCAGCCCCCTCTGGCAGCAGCCGGGGCAGGTGGTGTAAGGAGTGTGTGGAGTCAGGCTTGTGAGCAGTTGTGTGGTTTTGTTTCTCTGCGGGTCCTTCCATTTCAGTCTGCCTCCTGTCCCTCGCCAGCTGAGTGCTGCTGTGTGAGTGGGGGCACTGTGCACACAGGGCCCTTCCTCCAGCCTCCCTCTGCAGCACAGGCCATCAGGCCAGCCTGCTGGTACCACAGCAGACATCAGGTCTGGGGTCTGGCGCCTGCAGCTTCCCAACCATGAGCTGGACAGAAGGGAAAGCTCACCTTCCAGATGTGGAGAAATGAGGGCCTCCTGTAGTCCTGGGAGCCTTCAGCGCCCAAAGCAAAGGACTGGGTCAGCTCTGGGGCCTCGTGTGGGGACAGCAAGGTGCCATGTGTGGGTTTAACTTATTGCCAGCAGGCTTCCCTAGTCACCTGAGCCCAGTGCTCACTGCAGCCTGGCTTCCACATGTCTGTCTTGGGGGTGGGCAGCTGGGAGAGCTGTGGAGATCAGTCTTTGTAGGCTTACTGAGTGGCATGGACAATCTGGTTCTCAGCAGAGGCCAGCCCTTACCTGTGGGTATGATATGGTCAAGGCTAAGGCAAGCAAATGCCACAGGCTGGCCCTTGAACCGAGACGCCTGCCCAATGCCTGCCTCCCAGTGTGAAGCTGTAATATAAATCCCCCCCCTAACCTGTCGGACAGAGGCATCTTCCTAAGACATTACAAGCGCGTAACTTTTATATGAAAAAATAAACAGACAAAAGCCCGTCTGATGTCGTGTCTGTGTCCAGGCTTTCTGTGCCAGGCTGCTTTGGGGCAGTCCCTGCCTACTTGTGACCCCTCTGAAGAGGAGGGGATGAGGTGGGGCTTGGGACTCTGGTAGGCATTCTATCCTCAGACCCATTCTGTGGTTTGTGGTCGCTCTGGCTGAACAGACAAATAACACCAAGATCTGCCCTCCTTGGAACCTGCCCACACCTCCCTCCGCCGCTATCCCTGTTCATAGCCCCGGGAACACTCAAACTGAAAGAAACTGGAGAATGGCCGAGTGGGTATAGACGCTTGCCAACACTCTGACAACCTGAGTTCAGTCTCTGGGACCCATGGGTTAGAAGGAGAGAACGGACTCCTACAAGCTATCCTCTGACCTCCATATACACATGAGGAAAAATAAAAATATCCCCAAGAGCTGTGCCCTCTGCCCTGGGAGAAGGGATGTGCATGGTAGAGATTCGGGTCCAGGCTTACACTGCGCCCTCGAGGTCCCTTCTTGCAAGTCCTTCCTGTGACTTTCCCAATATGAGCGACCAGGGAAGGGGAGTGGCTTAAGAGCCAAGAAATGTCCTCAGACCTTGGGAATTAAGTACCACACCCAGGAGGACAGCTCACAGCCAGCCCCTGATGCTAGAGATGAAGTCAGAAAGACTGGAGAGACTTTTAACTCTTCACTGGCTGCTCTTGCTGAAGACCTAGGTTCAATTCTCAGCACCCACATGGTGTCTAACAACCATCTGTAACTCCAGTTCTGACCTCTCCCCGCACCAGACGTGCAAGTAGCGCACATGCTTGAAAACAAAACACTCATGCACAAAAATCTAAAAAAAAAAAAAAAGACTGAGCCACACTTGGGAGGTGGTACACTTCTTTAATTCCAGCACTCGGGTAGCAGAAGCAGGTAGATCTCAAGGCCAGCCAGGGATACATAGTGAAACCTTGTCTCAAAAAAAAAGTCTGGATTGAAAGTTACCATCACAATAGAATTCATTTTATAACTTTCCAGTTGATAAATGAAAATCACTCCCAAAATCTAATTTCTGTGTGTTTCCTAACACTTTAAAATCTAGGACTACAGCACTCGGTTGATTTTTTTTTAAATCTTTTTTACAAGATTCACCTTTTTACAAGGTGAAAAATTGAAAACCTTTCCTCTGAGATCAAAAGGCAGCTCACCATCTACACTTCTGCTTAGGATTGCAGTGCTTGCAATCCTGGTCAATGCAATAAACAAGAAAAGCAGAGATTAAACTGTAGGGAGAGACATACCCCTTGGGGCGAGGCTACAGTATGTGAGGGAGAGGGCCGCCTGGATGCTGGCCAAGATTCAGAGAGCTTCCCAGCCTCCCAGCTTCTCGTGTAAGTTACTTCTGTCTGAATAAATATCCTTGTTTCCCCATGGCATTGCATCTTTTCCAGCTGGTGCCAGGAGTCAGAAGTGACCCACCCAGCAATTCAGCCCTGCTGCCAGCTGGCCAGCCAGGGATGGCTTTGGGCACTATTTCTTTGTTCTTTGGCCACAGCCTGTGCAAGTGTACGCAAGCTGCCAGCAGCTCTCCCAGTTTAAACACTGAAAACAATAAAATACATGGATCCAGCATCATGTGAACATGAACCTCAGCAGGTCTACCAGACTTACATGGACTTTAAAGAAAGAAAACAAAGGAGTTTAGTTCTAATAGCATCAAAAAAAAAAAAAAACAGGGATGATGATGAAACATGCTAGATTCCACACCAAACTAACAAGCACTTTGAAGGAAGTGTTGTAGAAGACCTACATGTAAGGGCTGGGTGTGTAGCTCAGTGGCAAGGTGCTTGCCTAGCATGTGTAAGGCCCTAGGTTCAATCCCCAGTACCACACCACATACAAAAAGAACTATATACATAAAAATGAGATATATTTTATCAGGTGATGTAAAGCTGTCAGTTGCCAGGTATGATGGTACACTGTGTAGCCTGAGCTACCTACTGAGACTCCCAAAACAGTCATCTGGCCCTCAGTTAATCACTCGTGTGAAGCAATTACTGTTAAAATCACAATAGTGTGTGTACAATGCACATGCCTAGGTGGGGTGACCAGAGACTGGCATCAGATGTCTGAGCCATCCCCACGGTAACTATATTCACACAGTGTGAGCCATCCCCACTCTAACTGTGTATCCACACACAGTGTGAGCCATCCCCACTATAACTGTGTATTCGTACAGTGTGAACCATCCCCACTGTAACTGTGTATTCACACAGTGCGAGCCATCCCCACTGTAACTGTGTATTCACACAGTGCGAGCCATCCCCACTGTAACTGTGTATTCATACAGTGTGAGCCATCCCCACTGTAACTGTGTATTCACACAGTGCGAGCCATCCCCACTGTAACTGTGTATTCATACAGTGTGAGCCATTTCTATTTCTCACACTCCAGACTCCACTTCCGTGTTTTTCATATCAGCTTCACCTTCACAACAGCGATGACTAATGGACACTGGAGCTTCCGTGTTAAGATCCTGATGCAGGCACTCTTGATAGTTTTATTAATCACCACCCAAGGTGTTCTGAGGCAGCAGCAGAAGAGACAAGAAGCTCGTCAATCATGCAGTGCTTCAGGCTGCAGTTACAGGTCCCACTGCAGTTTAACACGATCCCCTCAGGTGTCTCCAGGCACCTCCAAACCAGCAGCCATCTAGACACCTTTCACGGTGACTTACTTGAAAGGTGTTGAGCGTGCTGTAGTTGGCTGCTGGATGCTATGAGGTACCTTTGAGGCATCTACCAGGCCTCCAAAAATCCTTTCCCTCTCTTCGTGGCTGTCAAGCACTTTGAAGGTCAGGTTCTTGGTTCCAGAACAGCCCTGTGCCCTGAATCTCCACACTGATCCTTGCAGACTTCCTTATTATTCCAGTCTCCGCACCTGGAGGAGGGCTAGGCTTATGCTTCATTACCCACAAGTGCTGTTGGCTGCAGGAAGCAGGGCCTGAAGGAGAGGCCAGCCTGTGTGTGAGCCGCCCATGCTTTCAAACCCATCCCAGTGCCCTCCTCACAGATGGATGGGACTCCTGTGCCAAGTCTTTCTCACAGCCAGCTGGACTTGACCCCAGGGCACGTGATGTGAGGACAACTGTGTATCTAGGTGTCTCACAGCATCTGGGGTGGCTGATCTGAGAGCACTCCCCAGTCAGGACAGCCATCCCTAACTGGGGGCCCAGCTAACCCTTGCTTATTTTTGAGACTCGTGAAGCCCAGGCTTGCCTCCAGCTCTCAGTGTAGCCAAGGATGCTCACATTCCAGAATTGCAGATGTGCGCCGCCATCCCCCATTTATGTAGTGCTGGGGATGGAGCAGGGGGCTGCGTGCATGTCCTCTACCAGCTGAGACACACCCTCAAGCCCTGAGCTGACCTAGGAAGAGAACGAGCAGGGAGCTGGGGCAGGGAAGGCAGAAGCTAAAAGCCACCTCGGACAGGTAGCCAGCAGAAGTCAGAGGCGGAAACGAAGAGACATGCTCACAGAGAAGTGGATCCCGGAAAGGAGGCGTCCTGTGTAAGTGACTCAATGGCAGTGAGCTCAGAAGGGCAGGCAATGGACCTGGGGACTCAGCTGCACACAGATGGAAGCCAGAAAGCAGCAGTGTCCTCTGAAGTGGTGACAGGCAGGTCTGTCCTTGTTGACTGGCCACAGCAGTCCTGATCCCTCCCCACAGGGACAGCACCAGGCAGGAACTCCCAGGGAGAGAAGGGCAGTGAACTCTCCTCTCCACTCTCCCAGAGGAGCATGCACTGACTAGAGCCGTATCCCTGAGCTGGGCTGGAGGTGGTCATGTCCTCTGGAAGGCTCTGAAGACAGACAGTGAGGACTTTAGTCTTCAGTGTTCTCCAGCAGTGAAGGTGAAGGCAGGCATCCCAGGAAGACTTCTAGGCCTTTGTCCCTCAGGTTAGGATCCCGCTCAAAGCCTTGATGGACCATTTCCCCTTTGCCCTTTGTGAACACCAACTAGTTACAGATGGGGCTCAGCCTGGCCGGCAAGGCCTGGGCCTCAGGGGAGGTAGAGGGCCACCACCACATAGATGACCCAGCTGGTCGACACGAACACTCCAAAGAGCAGGCTGAAGAGCACGAGTGAGCGGGCCTTCCTCGAAGCCTCCTCTGCCTGTGCCAGGTCACCCCTGCCCAGGGCTGCTCGAGTCTGTAATGGGATGCATCAACAGTGACCCCCCCTACCCACCCCAGACCCCCCCTACCCACCCCAGACCCCCCCAGCACCCCTTCAAGACCAGGCCCACGCCACAGGCCAGGAACCGACAGCCTGGGAATACCAGGACCCAGGCCACAGCTCACAGAGGTGCAGGAATGGTGGCAGAGGTCCCTCCAGCACTAAGCAATGCCCTCAGACCCCTCTAATGCCACCTCACAGCAGCTCTCAACTGGGGCTCATTGCACCCCACTTGCTGGTGATGACTTGAAAGTCACACAGCTGCTGGTGAAGCTAAAACCCACCTCTGAGCTGCTTGCTCCCCTAAGTCCTGGCTGGTGCTAACCTGGAACTGAGTCCTCTCCCCCAGACCCGCCCCACTTCCCAGCAAGGCTGGGCTGTTACCTGCAAGCACCGCCCCCCCCCAAGGCTCGCCTTCTGTCAATCAGAATGTCATAGCACCTTCATCAATGAGTTCCCCAGGGCCTGACTCAGTGCCAGGCATGTGGACAGTAATGGAGGAAAAGCTGGGGGGGATAGTGAGAAAGAGGGTGAGCGGAGATGAGTAGTACCATCTTTGTTTTAGAACTTGCCAGAACAAATCCTTAGTAATGAGGGTCACAGGTGAAAAGGGAGAGAAAAACAGACAAGAATAGCCAGGCCCCACAACAGGGCTTCTTCCTGGGTCCTACCCAGCTGCAAGTCCCCACAGGAGCAGAGGCTCCGCTCTTAGGGTCCGTCACCTACCTCATGGGAGTAGACGATGGCAATGAGTCCTGTGAGCAGGCAACAGAACAGGGTCGCCAGCACTGACTCCATCATGAAGTCCTTGGGCAGAGGCCTGTGTTCCACCTGCGTGGGGGCAGGCCCACCGGCCACGGGGCTGCCATACTGTGGGGGCAGACGGGCTTGCATGGAGAACCGGGGAAAGCGGGGCTGACCCCCCTTCCCCTCTTCACACCCACCCCAGGCCCCAGGAATCCTGTCATCTCTGCCCCACACACACTGCTGAGCCCAGCGCTGGCCACCGTCTTATCTGCCAAGGAGCAACCCACAGCCTGCCTGCCTTCTTGTCAACAGGGTTTCTCTATGTGGTCTTGGCTGGCCTGAAACTCAGAAATTCATCAGCCTCTGCCTCCGCTGCGTTATTGTAGGCCTAGTGGAGGTGGAGGCAACATAATTAGGCATTCTCAACTACATAGTGAGTTCCAGGCCAGCCTGAGCTACGTGGGAAGGCGGCGGTGCACACCTTTAATCCCAGCACTCAGGCGGCTACAGAGTTGCAGGACAGCCAGCACTGTTACACAGAGAAGTCCTGTCTTGAAAAAAAAAAATTATTTATCACATCCACCCTTTGGGACCCTCACCACTGATATGGCCTTTCTTACTCCTCTTACCAGCCCAACAAACCCAACCTTCCCAGAACAAAATGGCTTGGCCACCCGGCAGCCTGTGCCCAGGCTTTCTCCTGGACAGCTCCTATTCATCCTTAGGAACCCCGTTTGCTTGTCGCTTTTCTCAGCCTCTTGAAATCTCTAGCCACCTGTGTGCAGGACTGCCGTGGGGCGTGCTCTCACCGCGGGGAAGGGGAAGGAAGCTCCGGTGGCGGTGGCTGCCGGTGGGAAGAGCGAGCCAGGCGGTGGCGGGTACAGTGCGGCGGGCCCTGGCGCGGGCTGGAACAGCACCGGCACCTGCGGGAAGGGCGGGTAGAGCAGCGCCACCGCCTTAGGGTCAGGCGGCGCATAGGGTGGGGGCTCGCCCACGAAGCCGATGGGCGGCACGGTGCCGCCGGTAGCCTTGGGCCCGGGTCCCGCCTCGCCCAAGGTAGAAGTGGGTTCTGCATTCCCCCGGGCCGGCTCGCTGCCCTCTGCGGCGGCAGCGACCTGGTCCCCATCCGACCTCGCGTCTTCATCTAGCAGCTGCGGGCGGCGCGGGAGCTGCGGGAGTGACGGCTGCGAGGGGCTGCATGTGTCCTCGGCGGCTGGAGGGTCCCCCGGGGCTGCAGGGCTGTCGTCCCCCTTGGCATTGGAACCTGGAGAAGAAGGCAGAGCTGTGAGGCCGGGCTGCTGATCCCCCAGTCCAGCTGCACCCAGAACGCAGGGGACCCAGTGCGCCCCTCTAGGCTTCCAGAATTCCAGCCAGATGCTCTCCCACCCACCCCCCATGAGGTTCCTTCGGTGATGCCCCCTCTTGAACAGGCAGAGCCTGACACTTTCTCTGGCCTAGGGGACATTAACAAAGCACAAGTCGGAACTTAAAACACTGTGTCTTTGGGTCACCAGAGCTTGGGGAGGGATACTCAGTGGCGGTAGAGAGTCTGCTCTCAGGTGACCAAGAAGTTCTGAATGCGCGGGCGTTGGTGGCGCACGCCTTTAATCCCAGCACTCGGGAGGCAGAGGCAGGCGGATCTCTGTGAGTTCGAGGCCAGCCTGGTCTACAGAGTGAGTTCCAGGACAGCCTCCAAAACAATACAGAGAAACCCTGACTCAAAAAACCAAAAAAAAAAAAAAAAAAAAAAAAAGAAGTTCTGAACGCGAAGGAAGGGAAGCTCACAATGCAGGGTACAGGACTGACTGATAATGACGTCTTGGTTCCTACCATGATCTAACTGATACTGACCTTAGCAGTGGTCTTGTCAGGGCTGGGTAGATGGATTCGTTGGTGATGCGCCTGCTGTGCAACCATGAAAACCTGAGCTCAATCCCCAGAATCTACATAAAAGTCGTGGCAGAAGTTTGCTATCCCAGCTGTGGAGACTAGCGGTTCCCTGGTCCCCCACTTTAACCTAACTGATGACCTGACAGCCATTGAGAGACTCAACAACAGAGTAGGCAGATCCAGAGAGAGAATACTTGAGGCTGATAAGGACAAAAACGTTCATGGTGGAAAGGTTCGTGCTGTGTGCTTTAAGCACACACTTTAAAAATGTGTTTATTTTTATGAGCATGAGTGTTTTACCTGCACGTACATCTGTGTGTCACATGCACACAGTGTCTGTGGAGGTCAGAAGTGGACATTGGACCCTCTGAAGCTGGAGTTACAGTTGATAGTGAGCTGCCATATGGGTGCTGGGAATTGACCCCAGGTCCTCTGCAAGAGCAGCCAGTGTTCTTAACCCCTGAGCCCTAGCTATGCTTTTTTAAAAAGCTTGTCTCTCCAGCTGATTACAACTAAAACTCAGAAAACACAGAAACCGCCAGGGGTCACTGCAAGTGAGAACAGCAGGCAGGCACCTCACCCCCTGCCCCCTCCCAGGCCTGATAAAGGAATGGCCCCACAGGAAGAGCGGTGACTCTGGACTTCCTGAGCACTGTCCCTGAGCTCAGCCACCATGATCCCTTTGCCCTTGACTGTCTCTGGTCCTGGAGGACCCCCAAGTCCTGAACACTCTAGAATTGTTCCCCACAAGTATCAAATGCAGCCCTGAGCAGCCAATATAGGGGCAGACCCACACACTAGCACAGGGAGCCTGAGGGATGAGCCGGCCACGGAGAAGCCACACACAGAAGGTGGACCAGAACTGACCAAGCTGAGTATGGAGCGCATCACCTGAGTCAGGGAATCACAACAGGACGGAGAAGCAACAGACACAACGCAGCAACCCCAGCACCCAAGGCACTAACCCAAATAATCCGCAATGTGAAGAATTAGGACTGTGTGAGCATTCTTCAAGAAAAAACAAAGTTTGTGTGTATTGGGGGAGGGGTGGGAGACAAAACCTGCAATTCCAGCATTCAGAAGGATTGCTGCAAGTTCAGGTCCAGCCTGGGCTACAAGACCCTATCTCAGCCGGGCGTTGGTGGCTCACGCCTTTAATCCCAGCACTCGGGAGGCAGAGGCAGGCGGATCTCTGTGAGTTCGAGGCCAGCCTGGTCAACAGAGCGAGTTCCAGGACAGCCTCCAAAACCACAGAGAAACCTTGTCTCGAAAAAAAAAAAACCAAAAAAAAAAAAAAAAAAAAGACCCTATCTCAAAAATAAGAAGACAGGCTAGTTGTATGGCTCAGCATGGTAGAGCTTGCTGCTGGGTCTTCAGTTCAATACCCAAGATCCACATGGTAGGAGAGAAAAGACCCCTGCAAGCTGTCCTCTGACCTCCACTGTCAACCATGGAATTCTAGTGTTTGTGCAAGCATGCCTGTGCACACACACACACACCGCAGAAAGAGGAGAGGAGGATAAGAAAGACCAACAAGGAGAAATACATAAAAAGCAAAGGAAAACCAAGCAGGGTGTTTGTGGCACATGCCTTTAATCCCAGCATTTGGGAGACAGAGATAGGTGAATCTCTGTGATTTTGAGACCAGCCTGGTCTACAGAGGGAGCTCCAGAACAGCCAAGGCTACACAGAGAAATTCTGTCTCAACTCCCCAAACTCACACACACACACACACTAAAAACCTAACACATACCAACTCTGATGCCCAGACACCGGAACTATAAAAAAAATCCTTGTTCCATAGGTAAAGAGAAACACACTTAAAATAAATTCAGCAGAAAGCCACATTTTAAAAAGAACCAAGTGCCAATTCTAAACTAAGTTTCGAATTATCTGAATTTCATTTATCGAGACAAGTTGTCACTATATATCCCTAGCTGACCCGGAAATCACTATGTAGACCAGGCTAGCCTCAAACTCAGAGACCAGCCTGTGCCCTGGCATTATGGGGGCTTGAGGAGTCTAATATTTGAAAAGAGAAGACAACACACATTTTAATTGGTACATCTGGTGTATCTGAACAATACGTCAGAGTTAAAACATTAAGAAAACTTGCCAAAGCCTGGAATGTAGTTCGCTGGTAGAGAGCTTGCCTGGCATTCCTGGGTTCAATCCTCGATACTCGGGAGGGGAAGGAAGAAGGAATGGAAATGTTTTGGGGGTTGGTTTTTGTTGTTTTTGTTGTCCCCCATCACCAGGTTTCACTGCGTCGCCCTGGCTGTCTTAGAACTCACTCTGCAGACCAGGCTGGCCTCTGGGATGGCTCAGTGGGTAAGAGCACAGAGCACATGTGAGGACCTGGGTTCATATCCACAGCACCCACAGAGAACTCAGGAGTCTGTGGGAAGGGGAAGTGTGCACCAGAAACCTCAGTGTGGTGGATGGATGGATGGGTATAGGAGGATGGCTGAATTTTTTTTTGTTTTGTTTTTTGTTTTTTTGTTTTGTTTTGTTTTGTTTTCGAGACAGGGTTTCTCTCTGGCTTTGGAGGCTGTCCTGGAACTAGCTCTTGTAGACCAGGCTGGCCTCGAACTCACAGAGATCCGCCTGCCTCTGCTGGGCTGGGATTAAAGGCGTGAGCCACCAACGCCCTAAGCCCCAGGTTAGATAAGAAACCCCTCTTGAGGAAAAAAGGCAGAAAGTGCTACACACACCAGAAGTCCCCCTCTGGCCAATATGCCCACTGTGAACCCCACAAGTTCAGACATGTGCATATACAGAAACAGACAGACAGACACACACACACACACACACACACCTCTGGCATGCTGGAACTCCTCCCTCTGTTGTAAGGAAATCCTTGAGCAGCCACTGCCAATGAGCCAGAGCGAGCCTACTCTACTCCTGGACGGGCCACAAACAATGGGTAACTCCAGGACCAGCCTCAGACCCAGGAGCCCCCACTCGGGTGAGCTGGCCTAAGGGCAGGTGCAGGCATGGGACCTGGGACCCACTGCTCGGGGCCTCTTTCCATCGACTATAAAGTAAAGATAGATAATGGCAATCGCAGTATTACAAAAACGACAGGGAGCAGTTGCCCGGTCCCTGGGCTGAGGTCCTCCCCACATCTTAAGATGCCTCAATGCACAGACCAGGGAACCAAGGGCTCAGCAAGCACTTTAGCGAGTTAAAACCACTGCGGAGGGACCGGGTCCCTCCGGGTCGCTGTCACAGAAATGCCAGGCTCCTGACCCAGTTATCAGAACAAAAACCGCAGTTTCCCTGGATCCCGCCAGCGCAAATACCTGGCCCGATGGCACAGAGATAGGGGCCTCTGAGTAAATAAATCTACTGGCTGCGCCTGGCTCTGTGGCCTGGGGTTCTCGAGTTCTTGACACCCGAGCCTGAGGCTATAGTCCAGCCAAGACAGGGAAGGGGATGGAGCTGCTCCAAGGCCTGGGGTGTTCTAGAACAGGGTGGGCACAGTGGAATTCACCCCAGCATCTTCTATAGCTGGTGCAGGGGATGAGAGAGGGCACCGGGGCATCTGATCGCGAACCTGCATGGGTCCCGGCACCACCTCATGCCCCTAGTGAGCGCAAGGACCCGGGGTTCTTCGCTTGGATGTGTGGTCGCGATGGAACTCCACCAAGGAGCATCCACGCCTGCCTGCCCAGTCTCTGATTCCGCCTGCGAAACCTCTCCCAACCACGGCTCTGCATTCCTTCTTGCTGGGTCACCTGAGTAGCCTCAGCCTGGACCCGGGGATGAACAAAGCAAGCACACACTGGATGTAGCCAGGAGAGTCTGGACGGGAAATGCAGAGTCACCTGCTGCCGCCAGGGCATCTGCTGTCTACCAGGGACCCATCCTTCCCCAGATGGCCCCCAGTAGGGCAAGAAAGAGCTAGAGTTCCTGAACTTTTCCGCCGAAGCCTTTTGGCTCCCAGGCTCTGAATGCGGGTGTGCCCCGAACCCAGTGTCGCCTCGTTCCTGCCTGCGCCCTCCGTCTCGGCGCTTTAACCCCTGTACCGGCGCCCCTTACCTGCCTCCATGGCCGGATCCGCGTGGGTGCGCGCTGGCTGTGCTGTTCCCGGCCTCGAGCCTGGGTCCGCCCCACTCGGTTGACGGTGCCGGCTCGGGTTTCCTGGTGCCCACTGCGCCACAGGTTAATAATTGACCGCCCTGTTTGTCCACGGCTGAGTCAACACGTCGCTCCCTCGAGCCCTGGAGCTTGCAAGCCACTCTGCATCCTCCCGGCTTGGGCCAGTTAGCGCTGTGGCGGACCCTGAGGGCAGGATGCCTGGTTCGAACCCTGTAGCGGAGCTGCAGGGCCTTGACGTTGACGTGGGGGTGTGGGGGTCGTCGAATGAATGGGGCAGGCAGGAGGCTGCATTTCCCACAGGGATGAGTAGAGCCAGAAGAGAGACCACGGGGAGAGGGGAGACCTGGGTCAAAGGCAAATTGTATAACAAAGTTTTTTTGCATCGACTTCCGCTCCCCGCCCCAGAGAAGCCAGGAGTGTAGATTTCATCTAAGAGCTGAGGTTTAGAACAACACGTGCCTAACTTTCTTCCCGAGATGTATCAAGGCCAAAGAATGTACAACAGGTCCGAACCCAGTGACCTGAAAATACCATACTTAACAACGAAGGTACGCTTGGCCGCCTTTTGTAAGTTCACAGCTGAGCTCCCAGACTAGGAGGAAAGTTGTGTCCGGTGTTCAGTTCACGCGGATCCTGGAAGAAACGAGGGTCCCTCTAGGCTGAATTTTAGCCTGAGCAGCCTCAGGGGGAGTCAGCCTCTGGCGAACTGACTTATTTTATTGTTATACAATTCACAACTTTAGCAAGTCAATTACCGCATACCAAAACCTCTTAGCTGAAGCTCCCCAAAGAGACAAATATGAAAGCAATTCCCAGTCAAGGGGCATCTCCATTTTCGGAGTCCTCCCACAACCAAGTTTTGCATAGGCTTTGAGCCTTTATGAAACTCTGAGATAAGATTTACATACAACAAATAGAAGATAACGGACACAAAACGTAGCAAGGTAGCAATCACAAAGGCTGATCAAAGCCAGGTGCTAACAATCCCGGAATCAAACCAGAGGCAGAGCCTAAGAACTGAGGATGAGGAGGGAGTAACTGAGAAGGAGGAGCAATTGACCAGGCCTTGAAGCTTGGGTCTGTGAGACACAGGATGAAGAGAAATGGCTTATAGAGTTTACAAAGAAAGCTACTTTGACCCAGTGGAGGCTTTGAACAGAGAAATGAACTCTCTCCAGGAGCTGAGTATAGGGTTCAAGTTCAGCTCATCAACATGATCCAGAAGCCCCTAAGCTAAAGATAGACATTAAAAATAAAAGGGAGAGGTGAAGAGATGGCTCAGTGGTTAAGAGCAGAGGACAGGAGTTTGGGTCTCAGCACCCACTAACTGCAGCTCCAGGGATCTGATGCCCCCTTCTGGCCTCTACAGACACTGCACTCACAGGTGCATACACAAACACAATGTCTTAGCTACTCTTTTGCTATGAAGAGACACCATGACAGAGGCAACTTTAGAAGAACTTATTGGTCTAAGGTTTATGGAAAGTGAGGCCAACCAGAGTTGCAATGAGGCCAAAGAATGAAGCTTCATTAAGATACAAACTGCTAGGCTGTCTCTGAGAGAAGGGAGAACACCTAGACAAAGGGGAGTTTGAGTTTTTATGGGATGGTTTAAGTTGGGTTGGATAGCATTAAGGGGAAAGGGAGCTGATGCAAACAAAGAAACTGTCATAAACAGAAATTTTTACAAGGGGACTTCTGGTCATTAAGATAGCAAGATGAATGCCAGGAGACGGTGATGCACACCTTTAATCACAGCACTCAGGAAGCAGAGGCAGAAAGATCTCTGTGAGTTCAAGACCAGCCTGGTCTACAGAGTGAGTTCCAGGACATCCATGGCTACACAGAGAAACCTTGCCTCAAAAAAAAAATGAATAAATAAAGAAGTGAGATGGGGAAGAAGAGACTTTTTTTTTTTTTTTGGTTTTTCAAGACAGGGTTTCTCTGTATTGTTTTGGAGCCTGTCCTGGAACTAGCTCTTGTAGACCAGGCTGGCCTTAAACTCACAGAGATCCACCTGCCTCTGCCCCCCGAGTGCTGGGATTAAAGGCGTGCACCACCAACGCCCAGCAAGACCATTCTTGAAATTAGAGTTTTGGTAGTCTGAGGTGTTGACAGAGTGCTTGCCTACCATGCACTATATAGAAATGTGGCATGATGGTGTACTCAGGAGACACGGCAAAGAAGACAAGATGTTCGAGGTCATCTTCAGCTGCCTGGAATCTATGAGACTCTGTCTCAAAAAAAAAAAAAAAAAAGAAATTGTGAAACTATGGAAAGCCACTATCTTTTGGGGGAAGGAATGCTGAGAACCTGAGGACAAACTCTCTTAGACCTGAGCTGCCATTCAATAAAATTCCCGTATCACAGAAGAGACCGCAGTAAGCATTTTAGGTGACTGACACTGGAGGCACTCTGATTGACAGCCCCTGCCAACAGAAACATCAGTGGCAATGGTATGCATCATTCCAGAAGTGCTGTACTATCACACCTGCTGATGAGTCCCCACACCAGACTCTGACTGTCACTGAATAAGCAACCCTGCTGGAGAGTTCAGTGGGGTCAGGCTGCACCCAGAACCACAGGGAAACTTCAAGCTGCTGCACTAAACCATGAAATATTGGAGCAATGTGTTTCTAACTGTAGACAGCTAGATTCCACATCTGGAATTCTGTAGCTGAGCAAAAGCATACAAAAGGTACCGAAAAAAGGTTGAAGATTGAGCTAAAAAGATGGCTCAGTGGTTTATTGTGAAATAATCTTTTTGTACACTGTCAAGATGTGTCACTCTGATTGGTTTAATAAAAAGTTGACATCCAATAGCAGGCAGGATTTCTGGGTAGAGAGGACATTGGGAAGGAGAAGGCAGAGACAGCGAGAGACACAGAGCCAGTAGGATGGGCAATACAGAAAGAGGTAATAAAGCCACACGGCAGAAAGTAAATTAATAGAAATGGGTAAGTGTAAGTTATAGGAGCTAGTTAGATATAAGCCCAAGCTAAGGCTGTGCTTTCACAGTTAATAATGTCTCCGTGAGGACTGGAGAAATGGATCAGTGGATAAGAGCACTGGCTGCTCTTCCAAAGGACCCGGATTCAGTTCCCAGCACCCACACAGCAGCTCACAACTGTCTAACTACAAGATCTGACACCCTCACACAGACATACATACAGGCAAACACCAATGCACATAAAACGAAAAATTATATCTCCAGGCAATTATTTTTGTGAGCTGGCAGCCCCCCAAAAAACTTACTACATATATTATTCAACATGGGGTCTAGAATATCCAAACATATAGCCAGGTGGTGGTGCATGCCTTTAATCTCAGCAATCAGGAGACAGAGTCAGAACTCTGTGAGTTCAAGGCCAGCCTGGTCTACAGAACGAGTTCCAGGACAGCCTTCAAAACAATACAGAGAAACCCTGTCTTGAAAAAAAAAAGATAATGGGCATCAGAGAACCCCCATATAGAGTTTCCTTTCTTTGGGGCAAAAGTTAGCCCCTGGGCATGCCCCAACTGCTGATAGTATGCTGTCCAGATTGGACAAGCAGAACACAAGAGAAATCAACTGCTGAATTTTGCCAAGACAAGGCAGGACAGTCCTCCAAAATTCCTGCTTCACAGAAAAGTCTGTCAGGTATTCTAAGCCTGTAGACCAAAGATGGATTCTTCAATGTTACAGAGGCAACTTGGGTGACTGTACAGACAGCCAGCTGCTTCTGTCACTTCTATACTTTTGGAAGTGGTTTGCTCTGCACTTCTTTTTTTTTTTTTTTTTTTTTTTGGTTTTTCGAGACAGGGTTTCTCTGTGGCTTTGGAGGCTGTCCTGGCTGTCCTGGAACTAACTCTTGTAGACCAGGCTGGCCTTGAACCCACAGAGATCCGCCTGCCTCTGCCTCCCAAGTGCTGGGATTAAAGGCGTATGCCACCAACGCCCGGCTTGCTCTGCACTTCTGATTTAGTCAGGTAACATTATATCCTTCTTGGGTCTCTGATGGAGTTGAAGACTAAGTAGTTATAGTTTTCCTTGTCATCAAATTCAGAAAAGAAACAAAAAACTTGTAAAGTGTAATAGGTTGAGAGACATAAAAACTTAAATTGTTTATTTAAGAAAATGTTTTGTGGTCTAAAAAAATAGTTTTGGTTTAGAAATTATATTAGGTACAAAACTTTGGATTCGGGGCTGGAGAGGTAGCTCAGAGGTTAAGAGCACTGACTGCTCTTCTAGAGGTCCTGAGTTCAATTCCCAGTAACCACATGGTGGCTCACAACCATCAGTAATGAGATCTGGTGCCCTCTCCTGGTGTGCAGACATACATAGAGGCAGGATGTTGTATTCATAATAAATAAATACATCTTTAAAAAAAAACTTTGGATTCACCACAATAACATAGACAAAGGAGAATTTTCTCTGAATTTGCCAAATGCAAATGGACTGGACATTGTGAGTGTTGTTTTTCTGTAGCAGAGTTAAAACCTTCCCTTTTTATTTAGACAAAAATAGGGAAATGTTGTGGAATAATCTTTTTGTGCACTGTGAAGATGTGCCACTCTGATTGGTTTAATAAAAAACTAAACGGCCAATAGCTAGAATGGATTTCTGGGTAGAGAGGATGCAGAAGGAGAAGGTGATGGCCCCAGGAAACAGAGCAAGCAGGATGGGCCATATGGAGATATGGAGATGAGGAAAGAAGGGCACAGGGCACAAGGTCAACTGATAGAAATGGGTTAATTTAAGTTATGAGAGCCAGTTAGAAACAAGCCCACATCAGGCAGTTCACAAACTGCCCATATCTCCAGCTCCAAGAGACCTGTCATCCTCTTCTGGCTCAACAGGCACTTGGACACACATGCACGTGTGAACATGCATACACACTCCTCTTTGCCTTTGGGAGGAAACATCACCCAAACAGGGAAGCAGGCTAAGAGGGAGGAAGCCATGGTAAAATCCCAGGGATAACACCATTCTGTAAGCAGAATGACCAATAGCCCCAGACCAGCAGACCCAAGCACGCCATCCTGCAGCACCATGCCTACCAGCAGTCAATGGAGCAGCGTCTTGGAAGTG